AACGTACCATCGACCAAGACACCCGTTTTCTTGTGTTTCAGCATGTTGAACAGAAGCGAGTTCGCACACTATCCCAGATTGTTATGCGAGTTCCCGTTGTAGTAATAGCAAGTCAATCCAGTACTCTTGTCGTTGCATCCGCCACGTTGTACTCTGTAGTCATCCCTGCGTATTGGTGTCGAATGGGTTTGCTGATTGCCCGCAAGTGTGTGGGACAAACTTAGTGAGCACATCCAACCCAAGCAAATTTTGACATTTTCCCTTACACCACTGTCGCGGCAATGGCTGCATCTATTATATTTTTTTTCTTAATATTTGAGTCGGCTATTGTGTATTTGTAGCCAACAATCGATGTTGTTGTTCTCCCACTTCTAGCACTGTTTAAATTCACGTCTACGGCCGTTTCTCGAGCCACCGTTCCTCGATCACCGTAGAATCAGTCATATCCGCCAAAGTCGAAATAGTAAACCCACCCACGGCCAGGGACGATATATTTACATGTTCAGTCCCACCTACGTCGACATCTGCGGTGTCAGTACTATCAGTTGAATTTAAGAGGAACGTAATGCTTTGAGCATTGGTGTTCGCAGGCAAGGATTCATCAAGACGAGATGATCCAACTGCTTCAACTTGGCCCGCAGTAGCGTCAGGTGCATAAGCGAGATTGATCTCCTGTTCTGTGGTTTAGAGATATGTAATTATTACATGCGTATTTGTTTGATAGATAATATCTCTGCGTACCAACATTTGTCGTGGGCCCACGTCGAGCCCGCGTAGACTGTAGACGAGTTAGTGACGAGGCGAGTTGCTGTTCGGCTCGACCTGAAACGCAGTTGCATTTATGCTTGGTGCTGCTACTACTTAAATCTTCGAGCTTCTGAAGGAAGATGCCACACCCATTTATGATCTAATTTAGATTACTCTTAACTCTATTATTACAAATTTTCACCGAGCCACGTTATCGACATTGGTATTTTGCTGGTAGTGCTTCTGTACGAAGAAAACGTACAGCCCAGCTGGGATTAATTCATCCCATGTGTTGTTTCACACTCATTGTTTTATGCAGTATAAATATCACGTGACTCCATTTATAATTTGTCATATTCGCATGGATTTTTACGAGGTATCGAGCTGCGGAGGGAAAATCATACACGATCGAATTCACTTTGAAAGAAAATAAAATTCTGGATTCTGTTTATCTGATGCGTTTGTCTGCACCTGGACCGCATTGTTGTTGTTGTGGTTATCGTTTCAAAATATCAACTAATCCGGATAAGAACCGCTTTCATACTATTAACCCTTTAGCGACGAGGATTCGTATAGGTTCCAGAGAACCTGTACGGCGGGTGAATGAAGACGCTTATTGGACCAATCACACTTCGGGGAATAGGTTGGTGGCGTTGAAGTCACGCTACAGGTCTACCCAGACCTGTACCGGAACCACTCATGAGCAGCTCAAAGCAACACATGCATTGTAAGACACGCAAAGGTTTTCTTTCACTCTCCGACTTTCTAGAGAAACCACAGCAATGAACGACGATGTCATCGGCGACTGGGAGATTCAGAGCGACGATGAGAGCCTCTAGCAGAACAACCCGCTCGACGACTTCGATAGTGGCGAGGAAGAGCCATCCGACGGCGAGTTGCTGCTCGAGTTGCCGATTGATCGAGGTGGCGCTGCGCTTCCTGAGCCAATGTAGCCTCTCGTTCTACACCAACATCAACAGCAATTGCACCGAATGAATATCTCGCGTCCCTTCAGACCGATAGTGGCCTGCACTTATCTATGGAGTCTCGCGTGAAGAACGCCTTCGAGAAGAACGGCTCGTATGGGCTGTTTGGCTTATTTGTTACTGTTACACTGCGTCAGAGCATTCGACGGTGGACATCGACCAAGTTGGAATCCAGAGGGAATAAACCGTTGACCGATAGCAAGCTCAGCGCATTTCTCGGCCTCGAGATTGCAATGAGTCTGTGTCCGCTGAATGAAATCTCTGACTTCTGATCGACGGACCGCTTTTTGGGGCAGCCTGCTTTCAACGAGACCATGACGCGCGACCGCTTCCAGCCCATCCGTGGCGCCCTACAGTTCCACCCACCAGAACCCGTAACATTCCAAACGGTGCGCGACCCGCTTTACCGCTGCAGGGGTTTACTCCAGCACTTCCAGTAGCGGTTCGCAGAGACAGCAGTGCCAGTTGGAACCAGTAGTTTTGATGAAGTATCCGTGCCGACAAAGCACGCAATCGAGCTCGAACGTACATGCCTTCAAAACCTGACAATTACGGTCTTCGGTTCTACGCAGTGGTCGGGTGGGAATCACTGTATGTTCACTCATTATGGGATAATGGATCTGGTAAAGACACACGATCCACTCCTGCTGAACGCTGCACGCAGCTCTTTCCGTCTCTGAGGACGCCCTTGTACAGCACACTATCGCATCCCGAAGTCAATATCAATACAAAATCCGCCACGGCCTTATGGATAGCCATGACTGGACATCAAACGAGAACACTTCGGTCGCCTAGAGGTCGTCGGCTATTGGTATCCGACAATTTTTACACAAGACATACCTATGCCCGGGCGATTGACGCCTTCACTGACGGCGACGTTAGAGTGCTTGGTACTGTGCGATTAAACTTAGTGGATAAACACAACAAGGTGGCTTTCGAACCAGCAGTGGAGTGCATTGCAAAGCAGGAGCGCGGCTCGTGGGAACTGGTTGCTGCTGTCGACCCCGAGAAAGATTTCAAGAAGAACACCACCCCCACAAAAAGATAAAGAAGAAACTACCCAAAAACTTGAAGACGGAGCACATGCCATCCATCCTGTACGCTGAACACGCCGGATACATAGTATTCAAAGACCGCAAGGTTGTGATATTCTATACCAACGACTTGAAGGCGACAATGTCTGCTATTTCGCTACCATCAACATCACCTGAAGCCGTGTACTGCTGCCACGGTACGGTACCGATAATGAGGTGGACAGATGAGACCATCATGGACCGCGAGGCTATTGTGGCTCCAGCGTTGATTGCGGCTTACAACCAGTGTATGAACGGGGTTGATCGAGTTGATCAACTTCGAAGTACAAACCCCACCAGGCGTCACGAAAAGCGACTGCACATGTCGGTCTTTACGTGGCTTTTAGACCTTTCAATCATTAACGCGTTTGCTCTACAACATATTACCAGCTCAAAAAGCTTGACACTACGAGAATTCAAACGAACTATTGCTGACACTCTGACAAGCAACGAAATAAACCCGAAACGGCAACGTGATCGCCGTCAAGATAAAAGAAGAGCTGAGGTACTCGACGAGGTTGTTGGCAGTGACGACTAGCAACATATTGTCACACCAAAATCCACGAAAACACAGCAATGGCAAGTTGACGTGCTACTTGTGTAGTATTCGGGGGATTCCAAAGAAGGCAAAGTACGGGTGCACGAAGTGTGAGCCTGGATTCCACGTAGACTATTTTAGTGCGTTACATTACCAGGGAGTCTTCCGAGCGGACGTACCACAACTACTGGATGCTCTTGAAGCTATTGCACGCGCTCCGACTGGTGATCCTGTGGCGTTCACCAGAAAACGACACAACAGAACGATAACACCGGTAAGCTACCTGAAGCTCCCTAAAAAGACTAAACGCGTCGCAAATACATATCCTTATGTTTTCAGAGCTGTCCGGCCAATGCTGCAGAAGGTTTTTGTTGACACAAGCAGGTAGCTTGCTTTGCATTCTTCCAGTGTTGAGATAGATAAACACACGGCTGAGCGCCTCTCGAAGAGCCTGCGAACGATGTCGACGTGAAAACCTACCACTAATATTCCGTGCTCTCTCCTTTAACCCTGCTTTGTACGCATCCCACGCGCATGGCATTTACTCACACCATCCGCACAAGTCGTCACCACCGTGGGGCATCTTGCGTTTTGGGAGCGGCAAATCACAGCATAGCCGGAATAGACTCAAAGAGGTTTCATGGGAAAACCTTCTGCCTTTTGATTGGATTTGATTGGTTTGAATGTTCAAATCCCGCGTTTGATTGGGCCTAGTAAATATCCTGTGGGACCTCTACGGCAAACCTCATAGCTAAAGGGTTAACAAATGCGGCAGAAACACGACTATAAATGTAAAGCAACACTAATTCGATGCGTCAATGTCCGTGGATATCCTTGGATATGCCATTTCACGTCGTTTCCCTCCTCAACTGGTGCGTAGTATTGCAGGTGCATACCGCAGTCAATCCGTCATACTCCTGTTCGTAGTGGTTGGTAATAGGTAGGTAATTTGAGCCCGGCCAGTTTCGAGCCGCGGCAGCAGAGGGTTGGTGAAGAGGCTACCGCGGTTACTAAAAAGCTAAACTATCGCGATATCCGGATTGTTGCCGAAGTAGCAAATTCATTAATGAGCAAAATGAAATTAGGACTTCTGTTCCTAAATGTACGGCACTAGGAATTCCTAGTGCACTCTGAGACTTGTGCTGCATCATCCTAGGAATGCCTAAACTGCCCGGTATTCGACACCACAGCATAAACACCTTCATAATCGCCATTACCGCATAATCCTTGATGAAGTGAGTCGGTAGCTGTTGTTGCACAAAGCTGCTAGGCTTTAACTCGATCCGGCGACATGAACTGAGCCAACACTCAGCTTAGAACAAGTCTGGTGGAGGTTCCAGACCAACTTTCAAAATATGACTTGGTGGGTCGATGGCTACTGTGATTTTTCCAGGAACAAAAGATATCGCATCGCTGGTTAGGCAAACATTTTGCCATAAAAAATTCAGTGTAAGTCGCTGAGGATATACTAGATCATATAGTGCTATTACTCAGCACTACCAACCCAAATTCCCTCTAGTAACTCGTAACGTTTGCGTTTGACTACTTTTGACCAGACCTGGGTTTGACTGGTTTGGTCTCTGCCGCACAAGCATCGCCAGCTACAGCGGCGTGCACACCCGAAGACGATATCGTCATTCTGTGCATTGCGAACGAATGTGGCACCAAGCGCTGGCAAAAATCGCGGCGCTGCTACGTGGTCCTACCCTCAAGCATTGCCGTGCACGCTGGGTCAACTTCCTTGACCCAGCTATCGATAAAGCTCCGTGGCGAGCGGACGAGACGCAACCCATCCTGGCAGCTCAAGAGAGACTGGGTAATCGCTGGGCCGAGATGGCCAAGCTGCTTCCTGCCCGAACCGATAACGCTATTAAGTCGATGTTTCACCGTCGCTGTCGCCAAGCGGCAAAACTTGGTAAGTTGGCCTTGGACTGGAAGCCGTGCACTTTGAAGCGCCCCACCCGCTTGAGTGACGTGTAGCGTTTGCCCTGCGGTGTAGCAGCAGTCGCCGTCGACCGCAGTCCCTCCTTCGTCTGGTGGAACGTCACCACCGTGCCCTCACCCTCCA